TCTAGATCTGCTGAAGAAATAAATGAAAAGTTTGCTGAAGAAATAAATGACTATACAATGTACATGTAGTGTACTACAAACTCTTTCACAAAGATTCACAGTTCTCTGCTGAACAAGTGACACTGACTAGAATAACTGTCACAAAAACATTCAAAAGATCTGTTCTCTTTTAAACACAAACACCACTACAGAAACCTCTGTCAGTGTCTACATCAGTTTGTTGTAGCAGGCACTCTTGGCCTTTCGCAACACATCCTTGGAAGGAACAGCCTTGTAGCACGGGGTACCCATGGCTCTCATTCTCACTTTACGGGTAACCAAGCAGCTGAGTGTCCTTGTGCTTAATTTTAAATTTAAAAATTTTTTAATTTTGAAAAATTTATTGAAATTTACTAAAAGTCGTAATAATGGATGACTTAGGCGTAATTAATACACCAAAATCGTAATAATTACGCCCAAATCGTAATGGTTGGCATGTCTGCATTGTCTACGGTGCTCTTAGGGAATGGACAACGTCCATTTATTGCAAAAAGTAGCGATCATTTCTGGAAAGATGTGGTGGCCCTGAAAAGGGCCGGTGGGTTCAACTTGACAGCAACGGTCTTGATTAGGCGCGTTCGCCACGGATACGGCGAGCCAGCTGGATGTCCTTGGGCATGATTGTTACCCTCTTTGCGTGGATGGCGCACAGGTTGGTATCCTCAAAGAGACCAACGAGGTAAGCCTCGCTAGCTTCTTGGAGAGCCATAACGGCGGAGCTCTGGAAGCGGAGATCAGTCTTGAAATCTTGTGCAATCTCGCGTACGAGACGTTGGAAGGGCAGCTTGCGGATAAGCAGCTCGGTGCTCTTCTGGTAACGACGGATCTCTCGCAGAGCAACGGTTCCTGGCCTGTAACGATGCGGTTTCTTGACTCCTCCGGTAGCAGGTGCACTCTTACGAGCTGCCTTGGTTGCCAACTGCTTCCTCGGAGCCTTACCACCAGTTGACTTACGAGCGGTCTGTTTTGTACGTGCCATCTCTACTATAAAGTATTGAAATATAGAAAACACACAATCGAACTGAAATGTTAGCGCCACACTGCGCTCTTATATACAGCCGATCCTGATTCTATAGCACGGGATTGGCTTAACGCGCACCAATGAGCATTGTTCCTTTTCGGTTCTAAAGTTCGGGGCCGTGTGCAAAATAATGCGCGCGCATCACTATTAGCGCATTACTATAGCGAGTGTGTTTACTATCACAGCCGAGAGCTATGTATATATAAAGCTGAGACCGTTTGGTGTTCATTGTGTGAAGGTTGGTTGATCTTATAGTTTACTCGTCATTTCTTGAAAGCTATGTCTGGAAGAGGAAAAGGTGGCAAAGGACTTGGAAAGGGAGGAGCAAAGCGTCATCGCAAAGTGTTGCGTGACAACATCCAGGGAATTACCAAGCCAGCTATCCGTCGTCTTGCTCGCCGAGGTGGCGTGAAGCGTATCTCTGGCCTCATCTACGAAGAAACCCGCGGAGTCTTGAAGGTCTTCCTCGAGAACGTCATCCGTGATGCCGTCACCTACACTGAGCACGCCAAGAGAAAGACCGTAACAGCCATGGACGTTGTTTACGCTCTGAAGCGGCAGGGACGCACACTGTACGGATTCGGTGGATAGAGATTGATGTGCGAGCAAGTCTGAAAGCAACCGGCCCTTTTCAGGGCCACCATTTCTTCCCAGAAATGATTTTCTACATTTGCTATGAACCTAGTAGTAATTAATGTAAATAAAAGTTTAATTACACCTTTATTTGAATGACATTGGAGATGTGCTGCATCACGTCTAGAATTTTTTTTGTTTAGCAGAGATCTGAGATATTTTTTGTCGCTATGTAATCACTATTGAGTCAATAAGAAAGATAACATAATAAGGGTATTCTGATCCATTAATGTTCCCTATGATTGTGGGTGTATGCACAAGTTTACTGTAATAAAATTTAGTTCTCGTTTGATAAATCTGAAATAATTCTTGATTTTCCCCACTATTTTCAGGCAGAAAAACATCATTTTGCCTAATTTAAATCAATGCTGAAAGTGCCACAGATGGCTCCAGAATGCACCACAGAGCATCTAAGTTTCAAAATTTTCTTGGGGGAGGACCCCCAAACCCCCCCTCAATGGGAGGGGGACACCCCCTCCCATGCCCACCCCCACAAACGCCTGCGGCGTTTGTCAAAACCAGGAATTTAGAAATCATTACTCTTTGGCTTCATTGAATGTTGGCATGTCTGTACGCGGCCTAGAGCTACGTCAACTCCCGCTCGTAATTTTGTGACATACCCCACCTGTAACCGTGTGATTACTCTTCTGTGAGGATGGCATGTCGAAAGCACTGGTCGAATTTATTTACTATCACTGCCAGTCTGTCTCTTCTTTCGCCTATTATTGCTGACAATTTTCTGCAACACATGGACATCTAGAGAAACTGGTAGTAATTACATTTCGTGTGTATTTACCATCAATCATTTTGTTAATGTTATTAAAACGTTTCAAGTGCCTGTGATCGCGTCATTACAATAAACCGCAGTAAAAACGACTGGTAATTTTTGACGAATAGTCGAATACGGGTAATGCCATAGACGCGGAAAACGCAATAGCACGTTACGCATGCGTAGAACGGTCTATGGCATCACAATCCCCGCTCCTCATATAAATAGCTCAGCGAGAACGCTTCCCACAAATTCATTCTGCCTAGTCGTAGACACTATATGCAGTTGAAATGCCTCCCAAACCAAGCGGGAAAGCAGTAAAGAAGGCCGGGAAGGCCCAGAAAAGACCAAGTGGAGATAAGAAGAGGAGGAAGAAGAGAAAGGAAAGCTACAGCATCTACATCTACAAGGTTCTGAAGCAGGTTCACCCCGACACGGGAATTTCCAGCAAGGCGATGGGGATCATGAACAGCTTTGTTAACGACATCTTCGAACGCATCGCAAGCGAGTCTTCTCGTTTAGTGCACTACAACAAACGATCAACCATTTCGAGCAGGGAGATCCAGACCGCTGTCCGTCTCATCCTTCCGGGAGAGTTGGCCAAGCACGCCGTCTCTGAGGGAACCAAAGCTGTGACGAAATATACCAGCTCCAAGTAAAGACAACGTTCACTAAAGATCACCGTTATCAAAACCATATTGTTCTACCAACATTAAGCCAACTTGCCATTTTTAATGCCTCTACTTCCACTTTTCCACTACCAATTCGGCCCTTTACAGGGCCACATTTCTTCCCAAAAATGATTTCTACGTTTGCTATCAGTATACTTTATAGTCTTTATATAAACCCACATACAACATATAGTAAAACAGCGTTTGTAGGCCTACTCATGACGCATCTCACAGGTTATAACGATGGACAAATTCAAAATCCTATCGTGCCTGTAGCAGCACATATAATAAGAATTATCTATCTCTATATATAAGGATATATATATATAAGCAGCACGTATAAGAACACTACCGATACAGTAAGCAACGAAAGTATAACGATACACCAAAATAGCAGTACACGCCCTAGGGGTTACGGTTACGTACAGTATTAAACGCAAAATGTATAGTACATGAAATAGATAACATTGTATTCGACCCATTGTTAGTATAACAAATACTTTGTATTACAATTCCCGGAGCATTGCACTACATGATACGGGGATATTATACCGATGACGATCATTAATAAATATATGGTATTATAGGAATGAAACTATTCGATACAGCGTAAGCATCATTCGTATTATATGTAAGCAAACGAGTAAAGACCAACACATTCTCTATGTCAAGGAACTTTCTAGTACAAATGAAGTAGTATCAGCGATTAACGGCTGCTGCACTTGTTCTGCCATTTCTGGGTGTGTGCGTGACCATCGTCGCTGTGATTGGTCAATGGGAGGTTGCAACTCAATCCGCGACGGCGTATAAATAGAGAGCAGCTATCGCCAAGATCAATAGCGTCGTGGTGTTCCGTTGGTAAGTTACGAAGTTGATTATCTTGAATCTTCGCAATGTCTGGCCGAGGAAAGGGAGGAAAAGTTAGAGCAAAGGGAAAGAGCAGGAGTAGCCGTGCAGGACTTCAGTTCCCCGTTGGTCGTATTCACCGGTTGCTCCGCAAGGGAAATTACGCCGAGAGGGTTGGAGCCGGAGCCCCCGTTTATTTGGCTGCCGTCGTAGAATATCTGACAGCCGAGGTGCTTGAGTTAGCCGGCAATGCTGCCCGAGACAACAAGAAGAGCAGAATCATCCCCCGCCACCTTCAACTTGCCATTCGCAACGACGAGGAATTGAACAAACTACTCTCCGGTGTGACAATCAGTCAGGGAGGCGTCCTGCCAAACATCCAGGCTGTCCTTCTCCCCAAGAAGACACAGACCAGTAGCAGCAGCGGTGGAAAGAAAGGAGGCAAAAGCTCACAGAGCCAGGAGTTCTAGGCTCTTGCCAGAATCGTCGTACCAGAAGAACCACAGGCCCTTTTCAGGGCCACAATTTCTTCCCAGAAATGGTCTCCTACATTTGCAAAGCTCTGTTTGTGTTTTCTATTTACATATCGCATCAAATTCCATGCCAAATGACTGTTTTACCACATCAAGTATTGTTTGCACACGTACTGTAGTATTTACACGAAATGGCGGCCAATTCAAAATCAACTGAATCGTCACGTTTCGTTTGTAAATGCTCGCACCAACTTGAACTTCTTTATTATTTATATTATCATTACATTAATAGTAATAGGATCAATTCTAGCCAGTCTGTTTGCGACGAAATACTTCCTCTTGTGTATTCTGTGCTTGTATCGATTGGTAGTTTGATGAATAAAGATAAATAAGTACTATGACCAATAAATAGATATGATGAAGGGTGGCACCACCTATCGGAGGACTTTTCAGGAACTGAATTTCTGTTATATGATATCAGGGTTCAAATTGTCAGTGACAATTTGTAATTATTACCTCCTAATGATACCAGAATGGGATTTTTTTAATAGGTACAGCTATGGGTAAAGATATATTTATTTAGGTATAATTATCCATACTGTTACACGAAATTTTAATTTTATTGAATGAAATAACTACTATACTATTACTAAGGATACACAAAAACCAACTAGCTAGTAGCATACCGGGTACTTATTTATATTGTGGTCCTTGCTACATTACTCCTAATAATTATAACACTATCAGCAGCACGTTGAACTATAGAAATATATACATTTGAAATTTGTTCAAGTTATACACTTTTTTCATAATTTACACTATATACTTAATTATACACTATATTTACAATCAGATCCATTAGTGAAATTTAAATTAACTCATCTGCCTCCAACGTTTCAACCTTTCCCGTTAAACATTTTTTAATATTATACTTAACACTATTATAGATACTAGATAGTATTTGTCCTAATATGTTGTGATAGAGGTTACAAGCATCACTTGAAGGAAGAAAGAGAGAGAGAGAGAGAGAGAGAGAGAGATCTAAACTAAACATCTTTTTATTTAGGCAATTATATGATCCATCATATAAAATACATAGCATACTTTTACAATAAAATTCTGAATTTATAAAAATTGGATAACTACCAAGAATGCATGACTATCGCAAGAATGCGAGAATGCAAGAATGCGAGACTATATGCGAGAATGCGAGACTATATGCAAGAATGCATAACTACAAAAGCATGACTAGCATCATTATTTACATTGTGGTCCTTGTTTTGCTATGCCTTGAATCTAATTACTGTCAGCACTAACTATTGAAATATACAAATTTGTAGTTTTAACCGGTCATACAATGATACATTCTCATAAGACGATACAAACTTTTATTATGCCTAATTTCAACCGAATTATTTTAGCGAAAATCATACTCTTCTGCCTTTAATGTTTCTACCTTTTCCATCAGACTGACATTACTTAAAACTAGAACAAACAGTATTTGTCCTAACTTGCTGTGGTAGAGAGTTTTAAGCTTCAATTGCAGTATAAGTAAAAGAGTTTTTCCCACTGCTTCCCAACCTCGGTTTAAAAATAGACATCTCACCTTCCCTTGTATTGAAACAATGGACTTCTGACGTTAACATGAAACCCTCTGTCATATATACTGTGGACCAAGATTATGTAATATTTTAAAAACCCTGAACTCTACTCTACTTCTAACCTAAAACCTGAACTTTACAGGTACCCAATTTACAGCCTTGAACTTTCTAGCACCTATGTGTGCTCTAGTACTATAGGTTGATAACACGCCTAATGGCTTTATTTTGACACACTTACAGCTTAGCCCTTGTGCGCTTTGTGATACTGCTGTACCATATACTGCATATATAACATACTAACATATTAGTTTAAATGTATAATACGATATTGTGAGATAGGTAACACAATGAAATTATAAATACAAAGTATAACAATGTATTGCGACACGCTGGCCTTAATTATTAATCGCTAATGTCGCTCGCCCAACGACGCAAAAGTATTGTGAGCCTCAACCCCAATCACGACCGCGCATGGCGGTGGAGTAGGTTGTAGAGGATCACCCGCCGTCGTTTCATAGCCACGGGAATATGATATAACGAATGATTCTCAGTCTACATGTTACAGGTGAGCTTGGATGCTACCGTTGGCAGGTAGGAATGTACTACTGGGCGTGTGACGAGTCAGGTGTGTAGTGGAGGTCGGCATCATGGGAACAAAGGCTGTAGTTTATATTCTAGTGCCCTTTGCTGTATTATTATTGACGCAGTTTCAAGGCGAGTACTCTTGATTTTTGGTAGAATGTATAAATAAGTAATTTATAGTATTCATATATTACTTAGGCTAGGTTTAGCGCATTTTGTTTCATCATAGGAGTTCGAAAATATCCATCATGGCGGCGTCCATACCGACGATCGAGGTGTTTATGTAGAACATTTTCTTAGGTGTCCATTGATGGGAACAAATAATAGTAATTAAGCTTCTCATGTTTAACTGAAGGTGAATGGGACACTTTGGGCCCAACTTCCAAGCCGAGTTAGCACCCCCAGATTAGTGTAGCACTGTAGCACATGCGAAAACATTGCGGTGGTCCCAAACTATCCTTGAGGCTTGATCAATTCAATTCAATTCAATTCAAAAATGTTTATTCACGCATTACAAGAATACACTACATACATAATATAGCTGGTTATATTAGTTTAGAATTGCGTAGGAGGGTGAGTTGACTGTGAAGTCTTCGAGTCAGCCACTCCAGGTGATATTATTACATATAATATGATATATGATGGCTAGCTGTTATATGGATACATGCATGAGTTTAACATATTGAAAGATACATGATGGTTACACAAAGGAGAACAGGTATGATCAGTCAAATAGCTTAGCATAACAAAACTTAATTTCAACAAACAATAACTCAAGAGCATCAAAAATATAAGTAAATAAATAAACTAACTGGTATGCAACATCACAATTTAAACGTACACAAGATCAACAAATGTTGAATGTTATGAAGAGGTGACATATAAACTTAATTGCACTTAAAAACCCAAAGAACAAAGTGATCATATGATCTAATTCTTTAACATCTGATCTGCACTATATCTATGAGTAGGGCAGTACAGGAAAAGAGACATAACAATTAAGCGTTTGCGCACCATATATCCACTCTTTCATGATATCTGTGTAAAATGACGTGTCCTCTAAGTATACAAAATATATATTAATTATATGAATAGGTCCACACCCATGCAGATTGCAGTCACAAATGGTCAATCACTTTCTAGTATAACAGCATAATCATTTGAATAGGAATTGAAGTAAGGTCAAGTTTGCACGATATATTTTGGATTGTTGAGTGTGTTTGGAAAAAAGGAAGTGAGAGAGAGAGAGAGATGGAGAGAAAGATAATAATAGGATACCACTTTTTTCTTATTTGTTTTCGAATATAGGCAGCAGTGCAATTGGTGAGCTAAAATGCTACATGTGCAACTCGCTTGGTAGCTCACCCTGCTTGGATCCATTCGACAACATAACAACGAAGATTGAAACGTGCACAGACAATATTCGGGCAGATCGATTGAACTTTTACAATAACGATCCAAAGCTTCAGAAGCTGAGTGGAATTCCAGTGTGCCGGAAGATAAGGCAGAAAGGTACGCGTGTGCTATTATTTATTCGCTATAAGTATAAGGAATTATACTTGTTATTATATATATATATATATAATTATTATATTGACATTATAATTCGTATAATTATTCATTTTCTTGATTGTGTAATGTAATTTATAATAAATTATTTACGTTATTGGATCATGTTTCTTGAGCTGTTTTTTATACTTACCCATTCGATCGTTCTGTTGTATTCCTCACTGGTACACTAACCTATCTTTGGGTAAAATTTGACAATGAAATGGTTTTCATATTCTTATAGAACCCACATATAGCCATTAATAAATTGATATTCTTTCGTATTTCCAGTTGAAGACGACTACAGAGTGATACGAGATTGTGGTTGGCTATATGAACCAGAACTGCTGGGAAAGTGTGTGGACAGAGCTGGCATGTGGCATATGAAGACTCGCACTTGCTATTGCAAAGAACCTGGTTGCAATTCGGCCATTGCCCAGAAAGCCTCTCTCGTAATGGCTGTCATAGGGATGACTGCTGTATTGCTTAGAAGTGTTGTTTTATGGTAGTTTAATTTTTATGAAAACATATGCTATTACAGTTCATTTTATACTTTTATATACTGTACATAAAGTGTGAATAGAACCATTTTTATCTTGTTTCCTCTGGATCTCTTTCTCTCTCTCTCTCTCTCTCTCTCTCTCTCTCTCTCTTTCTCTCTCTCTCTCTCTCTCTCTCTCTCTCTCTCTTTCTCACTCTCTCTGTTTTTTTCTCTTCCTCTCACTGTCTTGCTTTCTCCCTTTCTATTGCTCTAGCTCATGAAATTATTAGCAGTGGATATTCTCACTTGCTCTTGTTGCAGTGCAATGTTGAAGCACTGAAAATACCCCTTTCAGTAATCAGTGTGTTGCAAGGGCATAATGTACCATCTAAGTGCAAATTGTTGCCCAGGGAAAGTGAACTTGAGGTGATACATGAGTAGTAACTGGTTGGAAACCAGAGAGCCATGTTTGTACTCAGATCGTTATTGCAGTTATGATATCGGGTCAGTACTCGTCCAGGTATCTAATGAATTGGTTTGTCACTTTATGTTTCCCAATAAGAGTGACAGTGTTTTTTTGGTCATATTTTGCCTTTATATATAATGACCTGTGTTGATTGGATTGAGTTTTACATTTATTGAGTTTGACCTTCGTAATACTAAGTGCGTTTTTTGCACAAATATGTCGAGATTTTTAACGTGCATGTATGGTATTGATAGCACATGAGAGTAATTAGGAAGATAATTATTCATGAAGAAGCAGAACATTGTTCTCAAAGTCTATATTGCGTCCATCTGTCCATCACATCTTCCTCTATCGTTTTTAATCCCCATTGTTTCATCTTTTCTTTCTATCCTCGCTTGTGTCTTCCTCTCCCTCTCTCTCGCCCCTCTTTCTCTCTCTCTAATCCCTTTATTCCTTGGTGCCTCCTATATTTCTCTGCCTTCGCCCTTTCTTTCTCAATCTCTATTTTCATCTCTCCTCGCCATCCATATCCACATGTTAGCAATAATTAACGTTGCGGTCTTCTGTTTAGCAGTTTAGGGAGAAAATACAGAAACATTACCTGAAAGTATCTATTGTTTAGCGTGGAGGTATTGCATATGTATGTTATTATGCGGTGATACCTAAATAGTATTTGGACTAGTGCTAGCGATAAACGCGTTAGATACACAGCTACAAAGGACACGATCTATTCTTTTACCAGACCGAATACGTTTATGCGATAGAGTTTATAGCTATATTGTAAATATTTTGTGCTGCAGAAAATCGTCAGGACATTATGGCCCCATTGTAACAAAGTTACAAACGTATGTGAGGTTCAATTTGGCGGATATACATTTTGAATTCAACCTTGACAAAACTATTAATGTCATTATAAATTTTTACGCTCGTTCTAGACAGAAGAACATGGTACAGCAATCAGGTGTATGTATATCATATTCGTATAGATTTATTATCCGGTAACGGACATTTAATTGCCGGATTGTTATTACCATAGAATCTCAACGTTTGGACATCTGATGTTGTATATATGTATGAGGTTTTTAGCACTGGCACGCTGCTGTCGTTTGTTTTACATGTCTTACGAGACGAGGGCGTATTTTCGAGACAAACATAAACGAGTTTTCATGGTTCTTATTCATTATGTTTGTTGCATGTTTCACGACGTTCATGTTTTCCCTCCTCTTCATCGACGCACGCATGCACGCACGCACGCTGAGCGTAGATGCTCACGGCGTTTTTCTATAATTGCCATAGTTTTGCCATAGTTAGTTTGCCATAATTTCTTACTCATAGGGGCGTATAGTACACACGCGTTCCGCAATATGCTATTGTCGGCTTAAATAATTAAATACATACAAAAGGAACTTTAATAAGTAATCACGTTTTTAATGCTTGCCCACTGAACCGTGTTGCTGTGGTAACGAGTGATATGGGATAGTCGGGGACTGCGAGGCGGTCCACGTATCCCTCCACATGTTAGACAGCATAATGAACCGTGCACGTGTATGCACATATATACTGTGTAATTCTTATTCCGTTAATTCAGTTATGGCGACACTTTACGGTCACGTGTAATTGAGGGATGGATTTTATGTACGAATTCTAGCACCTATAACTGAACCTTCACGCAGCCAGTAGTATTGTACCTGCCCACGCGAGGGCGCTGTAGTCTAACTCAATCGAGAATGCAATCGGCGGCGAACACACCTTGAACCCCGTTCCTAGGTTACGGGAAATACTTACGACCAATCCCAAAATTCCAGTCGGGTGTCGCGGATTCTGGATCTACCTGTAGCAATAACCGCCATCGCTCCGGTCAGTGAGAGATTACACGGAAATTAATATGGAGGCGAGACACACGAAAGCAGCTCTCTGCGTTCTCACTGTGATACTATGTACATATACTGGTAAGTCTCCACCGCATATAATATTAGGTATTACTATGATAGCGGCTTAGTGCGGCTCAGGCCGCCGTAGCTTTGACGGGAGTTGTGTGGAAAGGTGAGCGTTCATTTCACGCGATTATTCACATGTAATATTGCTCAATGCTACTTTGGGACCCTCGTACAAAATCATAATAACCGCCACCCATTCATAAACTTAACCTAATCATCATAATTTAACCCTGTATCCTAACCTAACACCAACCGTAAGCAAACATGATAAAAATCCGAAGTCCTGCTGTAGGATTGACCCAAATTTGGATTTTTGATGCGTAGGACTGTTTTTGTGGAGCCCGCTCCTCCTCTCTCTCTCTCTCTCTCTCTCTCTCTCTCTCTCTCCCTCCCGACGGAAGCGGCCTTGTGTCGTGTATATAATTATGTTCATTATGCTGGCTAGAGCGATCGAGAGATGTATTCGTAGATGTCAAAGTGTGGCACATCAGCGATTCTGTGTGAAAATTACATTTAGGTGTCGTTGTGTAAATACGCATGTCATAGTATTAATTATATCAATTAACGAGCTGCCGTGGAAAGATATGCGTTGCATTTATAATTTTGCGTATTCGCGCTATCTGTATCAGCGATCACATAGATATGTGACGTAAACACGAGAATGATTTTCGTGTAGTTTAGTGTAGAATGTTCGTTCGCTACCGCCGATACGCAGCGCTATTGTCCGCAATCGCTCACGAGGGGGCGCTAGTTACTATACGGCTTTCTCTGGCGAAATCCTGTTTGGGGCTCGCGATGTGATTGCGCACGGGCGACGTGTTTGGAAGTAGCATACGCCCACTCACAAAAAAACTAGAAGATTTTACATATAATAGTACTTACGACCGCAAACAAATATAATTTGGAACGGGAGAGAGAGAGAGAGAGAGAGAGTAAAAGTGAAGATGAGAGCCAGAGTAAAAAAGGGGGAGATAGATAGAAAGATAGATAGAGAGAGAGAGAGAGAGAGAGAGAGAGAGAGAGAGAGAGAGAGAGAGAGAGAGAGAGAGAGAGA